CTCTTCTTCTATGAGGATTTGATTTATAGCCTGAATAGGCGTCCAAGAAGCTTAGTAATTCATGTCCAGCCATTGCATCGATGACTTGGTCAATACGGGGTAACGGAAACAAATCCTTAGGGCATGCTTTGTTCAAATCTATAAAATCTATGCACATCTGCCATTTATCATTCTTCTTTTTCACATGACCATGTTGGCGACCCACTGGGTATTTTGATTCCCTGGCGGAGCCATTTTTCAATAGTTTTTCCACCTCTTCGTGTACTGCATCATTGATCGCGGAGTTGAACTTACGCCAGACCTGCCTCACTGAATGGGTTGACGTTCATATTTGCGTGGTGATTTCCTTAATACCTGGCATATCTTCATGGTTGAAAGCAAGCAAGTCCGCATTAGTAGTTAAGAATTGACAGAATTTACCTGGTTCCTAAAATTTACAGCCAATGTACGCTTTCTTGTTGTGGTCTATCTAATTGAATGGGGTCGAGGTTGTCACACCTCTTTTTTTACTACACCCTCGTAAAGGGTATAAGTATACGAGAGTTTTCCCAATTAAAGGACAATCGAAACGGGATTTGTTTATTTAAAGATTCAGAATCGCCACTTGGGAGATTTATGGTGTCCCAAGTCACAGGTTGAATCCCGAATCGAGGAAAGGGTTGACTCTGTTCAACAGTCCGTGAACCAGAAATCCGAGTACGGAGTTCTATTAACCCGGGAGAAAGTGTTAGGCATTCCCAAATTCTGTGGTTCTAGCACGGTCGCTCAACTGTTATAATCGGCTTAATTATCTGATTTTAGAACATTTTGAACCTATGTGCAAATTTGAACTTTAAAACTGCTTTTATTTAATTTTAAAGAAGATTGAACGTCGTTTAAAACATGTCTTTAGATCGTGCCACATGAAATGCACCCGCAATCCTAAATATATTTTATTCAACGTTTTATGATTTTTGATTTGGGTCACATGAAATGCACACCCGAGTTTAAGAAGGCAATATTATTAAAATCACGCGCCTGAAACAACTACGCGTTTGTTAACTTTGCGAGGGCCATAAACTATTGTTGTCCCTAATATGGCACGCCCCAAATTCATTTAAAGGACTAACACTAAATATGGTTAAAGGTTCCCAAGGGTCATTTATTTAACAATCAAAAGCCGCAAACGGGCTCCCCAGCTAGCGCTTGAACTGGGCATTACATGAGTCGAAATTGCGACCCAAATCATATTCAAAGAAGCTGTCAGGCTTGGGCCCAAAAATGAGCCCAAATCGAGACAAGCAGATTCAGCAAAGAGTAAGGTCCCTAGTTCGAATCCCCAGGACAGGCGTTCAAAAGAAACAATGACTAGAATGGTAGAGATCGAATCCAATTAACTACATAAGGCAAAACCGCATTTGAACCTTCGAGTTTGGGCCTGGATGAGCCCCAGTTCCAACGAGAAATGGAAAACCAGGAGCTCAAACCCATAACAAATAATGAAGAGCCCAAGCTCTCAGATCCAGAAAAACACACAAAGCTAAGACAAATGGTAATCCCCATCAAACCACAAAATTATGCTATAATGAAACCTTCATCCCTTTTTCATTGATTAACTCCCCAAATCCATTAATTTACAACAGACTTACAAGTTTATTAAAGAAAATCAATGTATGCGTTTATCCCATTTTGAGCCACCAATTCAGTATTAACAAAAAGAATACACACACCGCAATTGAATATCAAAAACTAATGCAACACCACATCTGAAGGGAGAGGTTCAGATTATGAGAATAATGACTAAGCTTAGCACTGACTTGAACTGAAACAAACGGATGAAACACACATATGTCAATATTTCAGCAAAGTTTGAATTGAAAAAGAAAAGAAATGAAATAGTCACCACCCCACAACTTCATCATACAAACTCTATATGAACTTAATTGCACATATACCAATTGACTGAATATTTTAAACTTCTACATCCACTCTGACTAGAATCTCCCACTTGTTATTTGATCCGCTTCAGTAATACCCTGATTACCCCCTAGCATTTCAAACCCAAATTAAACATGAGATTAATACCCCAAAACAGTGACTATTCATATCAAATAAAGAGGAGACAACTCACTACATTCAAACCTATTCAAAACCATCACTGTAACAGTCCAATAGTCCAACATCATTTACAACACATAGGTGCAAACTCAAAGGCTAAAAATGAGATATACTATAAACTATATAACTAACTACTCATGATAATTAACGAGAAAAATGTGCAGAAATCGCAGGAAGACCAATAGCCTCTGCTCGAAGGAACAAAACAGCCATTTCAGCTTGATTCCATAAAACTTTAGATCTACATTTACTCAGGATTCAAATGTCTTTACATACCTGAAAATGTGAAGAAAACAACAGCAAGGTAATCAAAGGTCCAGCAGTAGTAACAAACAGCAGAGTTGAACTCAAATCCAATGAAACAGTGCACCAAAAACAACTCAAACCTAGAAAATACAATTCAGCAGACCAGATACCAGTATCAAACACACTTTCAAACAATCAAACACCAAAACCTAGCCTTAATGACTATATCTCAAGCCATTTCGAAGTCCAAACCTTCAGGAAATTGATTCAAGAGGAGAAGGATTTCAGATTATCGAGCTAAAATTCAATGGAACGGTGTTTTTCCTAGAGTTTTCAGCCGTTGAGGATTTTTTAGGATTCTTAGCTCTAAAAAATCTGAATTGAGCTGCAAGTAACTATGCCTTTATAGGCAAGTTACTAGGGCAGCTTTGGGGTTTAGTTTATTTCATTTTAGTCCTTTTCAGCTTTTCCTTTTGCTTAAAGGGAGCCCGAATTACTGACTTGTGGATCAAGCTAGTAAATTCTGCAGCTTCTAGGCAATTTCTTAGCAGTTAACTCAGAGATTCCCTATGTCTTTTACCCAAACTAACCCTTAATTGCCCTGTTTTTACCTTGAACTCAAATGAGTTGGGGTCAATTTGACCCAAGGTTCCAATTCAAAACTGGGCCAATCCCTTCCCCTTGGCCCCAATTCTAATTCAAAAGCCCCAACACAAGAACTACAGGTAGAACTAATGAGCAGAATAAAATATGCAAGCTCAAACAAATCGTAGGCCCAAGGAACATTTTCACAATTAACCAGTTAACTAAATGTCTTGCTAAACAGACACTAACCAAAATGACTAAAACAATTTTTAAAACTAAACATGCATGACTGAATGGAAACAAGAAATAAAAATAAAAAAATAAATAAGAATCGTGGAGAAAAGAAGAAACAGAGAAATGGGTAGAGGGAAAAATAGAAAGAAAACTAATTTGAACAAAGAAGACAGAATGAGATTACCTACTAGAACTCGAGCGATTTGAGGAATGGGATTTGAACCTTCAAACTCTTCGGATTTTCTGGCCTGCTACGATGTTAATCATGTGTTCTTAATAAGAACACATGAATAACCTCGAAACGGACCCAAATCTTTAAGCAGAAACGAATCGGGGACCTCTTGGGAATCAGGGGTTTATTTGGATTTAAGATTCGAACAGTTCCTGGTTGATTTGAAGGACACAAAGTGAGGATTTGGAATGAGGGAGGGAAGACGGTCCTAGGGTATCAATTTGGGGTTGAACAGAGGCAGCGGCGCTACTGGAGAAACTATGGTGGCGCTAGGCTTTCCACCTATAAACTGAGAATCGAGAGGTTCTAGGTATATTTGAAGGAAATTGAATGGATATCTGGGATGGGGTGGTGGAGGGGAACATTTAATGTAAGTCTAGTGTCGATTTGAGGTGGCGCCACCACCAATGGCGGTGGGAATCCACCGGCAGCTTCTAGGGTTTCTAGCTGGTCTCTGGGATGGGGTATTGAGAGAGACGAGTGAGGGGTAAGGGGGAATAGTCTCTTAGAACCGTTATATATTAAAATGAGGTTAGTTCTGGACTGTCACATCAACTAACCTCGACGGTCGAGATCAAAGGATAACAAAACGACGTCGTTTTGAATGAAGGGGTAACCGGATCGGGTTGGACGGGTCAGGGGTTGGGTAATGGACTGGGTCAGCCGGATTTTGCACTGGAAAATTTGGGCCTGGGGGTTTAATTTGAAAGCTGCCCCAAAAATACAAACTTAATTCGAAATTCCTTTTCCTTTTTCTCTTCTTCTTTTTTTTTGAAAATTAATTAAAATCAAAATTAATTCCTATAACTAAAAAAAACTAATTAAACTTAGAATGATAATTAACATAATTAATTAAAAACAAATTAACAAAAGAAAGCTACTCAACATCAAAGCTAAAATTAAAAGTGCAAATTAAACTAATTTTTGTGATTTTCCATTTTATGCGACAATTAATTTTCTAATTAATCCTAAAATGTAGAACCAACTCTAAATGCAAATGCGACATATTTTTGTATTTTTCACTAATTAAAATACACAAACAAAAAATGCAAACAATTAACAAAAAATGCCACGAAAATCCCCAAAATTGCAAACATTGAAAGAAATTATTTTGTTTTGAATTTATGGGAATAATTCATGTAGGGCAAAAATCACGTGCTCACAACTGCCCCTCTTTGCCCGGAACACGAAGAGTTTCGTGCAAAGATAAGTGAGCAGATACGAGCGATATTTGCCCGCTTGAATACTCCGCGGGAAGCATTTTTGAAAGATTTGACCGCACTCTGCTTCTGAGGTTGCCTACATATCATTGGCTAAAAAGGAATCAGGCCAGTGTAGTTCGGAAAGTTTTGGTAGCTGGGACTACTATGAAGCTGGGATTTCACTGCTGCTGCTGTTGTTGCTACTGCTTACTAAACTCTCTTATTACACCATGTTGAAATAAAAGAAGATAGACTAGGCTATGATCTAAGCATTACAAAAATTCTATCTATATCTTCAAACTTGCTCTTGTGTTTCTTGTCGCCTTGTTGACTTGTATTCTCCCGGTGAAATTCCTTTATTGTCGCCTTGAATTGTAATCTGAGATGTTTTCCCTTTTCTTCAGGTGGACGCCTGACTGCTAAAGTCGAATTGTATCTTGAGATGTTTTTCCTTGCTCTCCAGGTGGATGCCTGACTACTGAACTTGATATGTATTCCCATGCTCTCTAGGCGGGGCTCCTGACTCCAAAACGTGAATATATTCCCATGCTATCCAGGCGGGCTCCTGACTTCGAAACATGAATGTATTCCCCTGCTATCCAGGCGGGCTCCCGACTGCTAAACTTGAAAGTATTCCCTGCTTTCCAGGCGGGTATCCTGACTTCAATATGAAAGTATTCCCTGCTTTGCAGGCGGGTTCCTAACTTCAACAAAGAATTTGAAAGCTAAAATTTAAATTGTACTCCCTTGTTCTCCAGGCGGGCTCCTGACTGCTACGCTTGAAAGTATTCCCTGCTCTCCAGGCGGGCTCCTGACTTCAACTTAAAATATATTCCCTGCCCTCCAGGCGGGCTCCTGACTTCAACTTGAAATGTATTCCTGCTCTTCAGGCAGGCTCCTGACATCAAAATAGACAAAACAAAGAAAATTTTTCTACCCCAGTTTGGTGGCTAGGAACAGATGTGAGTGTAAAACTAAATCATATTACCAAGTATTACTAAGAATTGAAAGCTAAATCCCATTATTCAGGGGGTCCTGACAACTCTTAACTAAACGACAATTTTTTAAGATCTAAGTTATGTCTTCTACATGTGTAATTTCTGCTAAATCTTGTTATCTAAGAGGGTCTTAAACTACTCCCCATTATCCAGGAGGGTCCTGAAAATCAAAAGTCAAGTTTTATCTTAAGAGTGACAACTTTCATGGCTTAATTATACTACCCTACAGCAGAACTTACGCTAAATGTTATTATCTAATCGAAATCTTAAAGATAAGTCTCATTATTCAGGAGGGTCCTAGAAACTCCTAATTGAATCTTATCTCGAACATGCAAACTTCAAAACCTGCTTATATTCCTTTGGGATACATTTATGCTAGATTATGCTATTTCTGAAATTTAAACTACGTCCCATTTTCCAGGAGGGTCCTAAAAGTTTACGGTCAAACATATTTTGATGCTTACTCTTGCCCCTACGGAGAGTTTCTCCGAAACAAACAAATTTTCCTGCCCCTGTTTCAATCAAAGAAAATTTTGTCAGTTTAAAGTAGTGGTTAGTTGATGGCATTCTTGCTGAAGATCCTTCCACTGCATTGTTTATTCTGAATGGCTTTCCCGAACTGGCCCTGAACCACTTTGACTTTCTGACTGACTTTCAAATCCTAAGACCTTTGATGAACCGAGTGTTCTATACCCATGTTTTTGTTTCACACCTCTGACCCCTTTATCTGAACCTTTGCATCTCCCATGACATTACCAACTCATTCCACCAGTGAAACTTCTGGTGATCCCATGTATCCCACCTTACATCATGTTGTCTTTAGTATGCTCTGACCACTTTATGATTTGCAATTTTGGAAGTTGGTAGTGAGCTTTGAAATTATTTTCCACTTACTTGGGACAAGACTGACATTAAAACATCTTAGACAAATAAACCCAAAAGAAAATGAAATGCAATTACTTTGCGGGTTAAGGATAAAAAGAATCCAAAACCAGATGACTGCTATAAAGGGGGAAAAGACAAAGAAACTTATCTGAGTGGAACAACTGGTACCGAGGATCATGACATGCATTTCGGATTAATCGGCCCAATCTGTCCAACCAATCAACTTTCAGTTGTCGTACTTCGTTGCCTCAGAATTTCCATGACTTGATTACTTTACCCAAACCTTGACCTTGTTTATCCTGCGGTGCCTTGAAAGGTTTTCACCAGCAGACCTCTTTCATTCATTCATCTCTCAGCTTACTTTCACCTCACGGTGCCCGTAAGGGTTTTCACCAATAAGACTCTCTCATTCTTTGATTTCTCTCAGCTTTTGTCGCCTCATGGTGCCCGCGAGAGTTTTCACCAATAAGACTCTCTCATTTTTATTTTCCTGCTTGAACCAGAGTGTTGCCCCTGACATGAATTACCTTTACTTTCTCGACTTGGAATTTCTCAAAGACTGATCAGAAGGTCTTTCTTTGGACCGTAATGTGGGATTTTGGACAGGGTTAGAAAGAAAGTGTATAAAAGGCTCAAAACAATTCAAATGGGTTCAAAATTACAACTTTCAGAATCAGATTTCTTACAA